CGTCGTCTCGTCACTGAGCTCGGGTGACTTAGGTGGGATTTTCCCCCTACGAACACTTTATGCCTGTGTTTTCCAGGTACTTTAAGAAACGTATCCACATTACTCTGCAGTGTGGGGTGGAGTGATAGTGTGTGTGTGTGCAGGTGTTTAGTTGCTTCTTGAGTCGTGACTTATATCTCTGATTTTTTTTCAGGTAAGTAACAGCATCAGTCAATGCTGACTCCAGAAAGGCGGATACCTTGTTTGATCGCTGCAGGTAAGTAACGACATCAGTGAATACCTTGTTTGATCGCTGCAGGTAAGTAACTACATCAGTGAATACCTTGTTTGATCGCTGCAGGTAAGTAACGACATCAGTGAATACCTTGTTTGATCGCTGCAGGTAAGTAACTACATCAGTGAATACCTTGTTTGATCGCTGCAGGTAAGTAACTACATCAGTGAATACCTTGTTTGATCGCTGCAGGTAAGTAACTACATCAGTGAATACCTTGTTTGATCGCTGCAGGTAAGTAACTACATGAACGTTACCGCCTGAGTGCGAGGGAGTGTGCGAGTCGGAATGTTTTAGAGTGCGTTATAGAGAGCTAGTGTGTTAGTGTGTGTTACCAAGAATATGCGTTGCAATAACAGCGTTGGTTGTGGTCCTTTGCGTGAGTCCCATGAGTAGTGGTCGACACTAGGCCACCTGTTGCGGCTAGCAGTCAAGCACCTGCCTACCATCCCTCCCAGGTGGGCGGCCATGCTTGTACATCTGCTGCTAGTTGCCTAGGTAGGCTGCCAGATACACTGTTAGGAAGGTAGGTAGGTAACCAGGCAGGTAAACTGGCAAGCAGATAGAGAAGCAGGCAGGTATATACGCTAGCAAGCAGATATATAAGCAGTCAGGTATGTACGCTGGCAAGCAGATAGATATGTAGGCAGGTAACTAAGCAGGGCAGTCAGGCAGGTAAGCAAACTAAATAAGCTGATAAGCAAGAAAGGGAACCAAGCAAGCAGGCAGGGCAGGGCATGACAGGCAGAGATTATGGAAGGTAAAGAGAGAGAGAGAGATAACCAAAGAGAGCCAGAGAGCTAGAGCGAGCAGTGTGCGTCACACTACACTGCGATATCCTCTTAAATGGGAACTTTTAAAACCCAGACGCACAGCTAAATAACCAAACCCGAATATGGATTTGACCGACACTGGGTCGGCCATAGGGACGGGACCTTCTACCCGATTTTGACAACAATGGAGTTTAGTGGGAGGCCTGGGTAGCCCCCACAAAATTGTCTTAGAAGTCGCCCATTCACCTCTCGTACGTGATTTATTGCTATATATGATAAGGGTATACAATACCGACAAGTGGATGAGTAAGAGACGTATGCAACAGACATCGTGATTCCGAAACGTTTCGCCCACACAGTAGGCTTCTTTAGTCGAGTACACAGAAGGCAGCAGAAGCAGTGAAGATGAAAAGTTGATGTAGTCAGTCCGTCACCCTCAAAGACGTAGTTTTGAGGTGGTCAGTCCCACAACTACGTCTTCAAGGCTGATGGACTGATTACATTGTTTATACATATGTACTGCTTCTGCTGCCTTCCCTGTACTCGACTGAAGAAGTCTGCTGTGTGGGCGAAACGTCAGAATCAAGATACCTAACTGTTGCATATGTCTCTTATCATGTTTTATTGCTGTATTAATCTCGTTTTGTGCGCTTTTTATTGATGAGGTCAGTGCTTGTTATGTGTTGGTTTTATTGATGGATTGATGTCGCTGTTTGTTGTGGGTGTTTATACGAGTGGTATTGTTAAATTATTTTATTAGTGAATTGATGATGTTACTGGTTACGTTTTGTTTATTAGTTATCACAACAGATTGTATTGACTCACCTAGTCGATTCACTTAGCTGTACTCGTCTAGATTTATTCACCTAATTGTGCTTACCTTCCCTCACCTGCTTGTACCCATAAACTTGTACTCACCTAAGTGTACTCAGTTTTTTTGGGGCCTCTAGTGATCTGTTGTACCCACTCTTGAATCGGTGTATATCCTTTACCTTCTTTTACCACATTAAGACGGAGAGGAAGAACTTTTTATCGTCGCTATGGCTCCTCTGCGTCTTGAGATTATTAAAATCAAAAGGGAAGCTCTAAACCCGTAGGATTATACAGCTGCATCTTGAGATGCCATCTGTGTCTCGTGATGTAAAGATGTGCTCCGTCCAGCTTAGAATTCATAGACTGAATACACTGACTCCAGGCTGAGGGACTGACTACCTTAAACTCCTCATTTTCCACCGTTCTTCTCTGTATTAGACTGAAGAACCTTCTAGCTGGCGAAACGTTTCCAAAATGTTGCATAAGTGTGTCATTCTTCATCTGTGTTTTCCTTGGTTCTGTTTCCTCCCATCTAAGCCTCTCCCTTTCCAATATATCATGCTTGCACTCGTTTCAAGTCCCTCGTAATGGATTTTTTTTTAGTTCTGGCACCCATGTGTAAGTGTGTGTGTGTGGGGGGGGATGTTTCGCCTTGGTTGGTGGGTTCCATGGTGCCATTGTTGTAGCAGTGTAGTGATAGCAATGGAAAAGTTCTGGGTGCCAGTGTAAGAGTTCTGGGTGCCAGTGTGGTAGAGATGTTACCAACACAGTCAAAGAATGGCTTGTGAGACCTGATCGTAATGGGAATTTGAGCAAACAAACTTAGCAGTAGACTATGATGTATATTTTACCTTCACTCACTATATACAGGTATGTACACTATGTACAATATGTACAGATAGAATAATAAGTGTACACGACAGTGACAGATGGCAGAGCAGAAGCTAGAGAGAGCGCAGCGTGCTCAACCAGCAGGTAGGCAGGTCTACCAATGCTTACCGTAAGTGAACCACGTTGCTTTGGCGGGCTTGCCTGTGATTGGTCAGTGAACCAAGGTACTGATTTAACGACGGATACCCTATTGATCTTTAAACCCTTAGGACCGGTTTGCTGGTTGGGAGGCAGCCTATATGGGAGTGTGACATACGCCGAATAAATAGAAAGGTAGTCTTCGTATGCCACAGGTGTGCACAGTGGTGGTAGAGATGTGCACCATGATGGCAGAGATGTGCACCATGATGGCAGAGATGTGGTAGAGATGTGTACCATGATGGCAGTGTTGTAGAGGTGTGCACCATAGTGGGAGTGTGGTAAAGGTGTGCACCATGGTGGCAGTGTCGTAGAGGTGTGCACCATGGTGGTAGAGATGTGTACCATGGTGGCAGTGTTGTAGAGATGTGAACCATGGTGGCAGTGTCGTAGAGGTGTGCACCATGATGGCAGTGTGGTAGAGGTGTCCACCATGGTGGCAATGTCGTAGAGGTGTGCACCATGGTGGCAATGTGGTAGAGGTGTGAACCATGGTGGTAGAGATGTGCACCATGGTGACAGTGTGGTAGAGGTGTGCACCATGGTGGCAGTGTCGTAGAGGTGTGCATCATGGTGGCAGTGTCGTAGAGGTGTGCATCATGGTGGCAGTGTCGTAGAGGTGTGCACCATGGTGGCAGTGTGGTAGAGGTGTACACCATGGTGGTAGAGGTGTGCACAATGGTGGTTGAGATGTGCACCATGGTGGCAGTGTGGTAGAGGTGTGCACCATGGTGGCAGTGTAGTAGAGGTGTACACCATGGTGGTAGAGGTGTGCACCATGGTGGCAGTGTCGTAGAGGTGTGCACCATGGTGGCAGTGTCGTAGAGGTGTGCACCATGGCGGCAGTGTGGTAGAGGTGTACACCATGGTGGCAGTGTCGTAGAGGTGTGCACCATGGCGGCAGTGTCGTAGAGGTGTGCACCATGGCGGCAGTGTGGTAGAAGTGTGCACCATGGTGGCAGTGTCGTAGAGGTGTGCACCATGGTGGTAGAGGTGTGCACCATGGCGGCAGTGTGGTAGAGGTGTGCACCATGGTGGCAGTGTCGTAGAGGTGTACACCATGGTGGTAGAGGTGTGCACCATGGTAGAGGTGTGCACCATGGTGGTAGAGGTGTGCACCATGGTGGTAGAGGTGTGCACCATGGCGGCAGTGTGGTAGAGGTGTGCACCATGGTGGCAGTGTCGTAGAGGTGTACACCATGGTGGTAGAGGTGTGCACCATGGTGATAGAGGTGTGCACCATGGTGGTAGAGGTGTGCACCATGGTGGTAGAGGTGTGCACCATGGTGGTAGAGGTGTGCACCATGGTGGTAGAGGTGTGCACCATGGTGGTAGAGGTGTGCACCATGGCGGCAGTGTGGTAGAGGTGTGCACCATGGTGGCAGTGTCGTAGAGGTGTACACCATGGTGGTAGAGGTGTGCACCATGGTGGTAGAGGTGTGCACCATGGTGGTAGAGGTGTGCACCATGGTGGTAGAGGTGTGCACCATGGTGGTAGAGGTGTGCACCATGGTGGTAGAGGTGTGCACCATGGTGGTAGAGGTGTGCACCATGGTGGTAGAGGTGTGCACCGTGGTGGTAGAGGTGTGCACCGTGGTGGTAGAGGTGTGCACCGTGGTGGTAGAGGTGTGCACCGTGGTGGTAGAGGTGTGCACCGTGGTGGTAGAGGTGTGCACCGTGGTAGAGGTGTGCACCGTGGTGGTAGATGTGTGCACCGTGGTGGTAGAGGTGTGCACCGTGGTGGTAGAGGTGTGCACCATGGTGGTAGAGGTGTGCACCATGGTGGTAGAGGTGTGCACCATGGTGGTAGAGGTGTGCACCATGGGTATGCACCTAAATGATAGCAAATCTAATTTCAGGTGAGAGTTGTCACAATTACTGTTTGTAAATGATATATGACACGTGGTGGTGCTGGCGGTGGTGCTGGTGGTGGTGCTGGTGGTGGTGCTGGCGGTGGTGCTGGCGGTGGTGCTGGTGGTGGTGCTGGCGGTGGTGCTGGTGGTGGTAGTGTTCGTGGTAGTGCTGGTGGTGGCAGTGCTCGTGGTGGTGCTGGCGGTGGTGCTGGTGGTGGTAGTGTTCGTGGTAGTGCTGGTGGTGGCAGTGCTCGTGGTGGTGCTGGTGGTGGTAGTGTTCGTGGTGGTAGTGGTGGTGCTGGTGGTGGTAGTGCTCGTGGTGGTGCTGGTGGTGGTGGTGGTAGTGTTCGTGGTGGTGCTGGTGGTGGTAGTGTTCGTGGTGGTGCTGGCGGTGGTAGTGTTCGTGGTGGTGCTGGTGGTGGCAGTGCTCGTGGTGGTGCTGGTGGTGATAGTGTTCGTGGTGGTGCTGGTGGTGGTAGTGTTCGTGGTGGTGCTGGTGGTGGCAGTGCTCGTGGTGATGCTGGTGGTGGTAGTGTTCGTGGTGGTGCTGGTGGTGGCAGTGCTCGTGGTGGTGCTGGTGGTGGTAGTGTTCGTGGTGCTGGTGGTGGCAGTGCTCGTGGTGGTGCTGGTGGTGGTAGTGTTCGTGGTGCTGGTGGTGGCAGTGCTCGTGGTGGTGCTGGTGGTGGCAGTGCTCGTGGTGGTGCTGGTGGTGGTAGTGTTCGTGGTGCTGGTGGTGGTAGTGTTCGTGGTGGTGCTGGTGGTTGTGTTGGTGGTGGTAGTGTTCGTGGTGGTGCTGGTGGTGGCAGTGCTCGTGGTGGTGCTGGTGGTGGTAGTGTTCGTGTTGGTAGTGGTGGTGCTGGTGGTGGTAGTGCTCGTGGTGGTAGTGGTGGTGCTGGTGGTGGTAGTGCTCGTGGTGATGGTGGTGGTGGTAGTGCTCGTGGTGGTGCTGGCGGTTGTGTTGGTGGTGGTAGTGTTCGTGGTGGTGCTGGTTTTGGCAGTGCTCGTGGTGGTGCTGGTGGTGGTAGTGTTCGTGGTGGTGCTGGTGGTGGCAGTGCTCGTGGTGGTGCTGGCGGTTGTGTTGGTGGTGGTAGTGTTCGTGGTGGTGCTGGTGGTGGCAGTGCTCGTGGTTGTGTTGGTGGTGGTAGTGTTCGTGGTGGTGCTGGTGGTGGCAGTGCTCGTGGTGGTGCTGGTGGTGGTAGTGTTCGTGGTGGTGCTGGTGGTGGCAGTGCTCGTGGTTGTGTCGGTGGTGGTAGTGTTCGGTGGTGGGCTGGTGGTGGCAGTCCTCGTGGTGGCGCTGGTGGTGGTAGTGTTCGTGGTGGTGCTGGCGGTTGTGTTGGTGGTGGTAGTGTTCGTGGTGGTGGTGGCAGTGCTCGTGGTGGTGCTGGTGGTGGTAGTGTTCGTGGTGGTGCTGGTGGTGGCAGTGCTCGTGGTGGTGCTGGCGGTGGTAGTGTTCGTGGTGGTAGTGGTGGTGCTGATGGTGGTAGTGCTCGTGGTGGTAGTGGTGGTGCTGGTGGTGGTAGTGCTCGTGGTGGTGGTGCTGGTGATGGTAGTGCTCGTGGTGGTGGTGGTGCTGGTGATGATAGTGCTCGTGGTGCTGGTGATGGTAGTGCTCGTGGTGGTGGTGCTGGTGATGGTAGTGCTCGTGGTGGTGGTGCTGCTGATGGTAGTGCTCGTGGTGGTGGTGGTGCTGGTGATGGTAGTGCTCGTGGTGGTGGTGGTGGTGGTGCTGGTGATGGTAGTGCTCGTGGTGGTGGTGCTGGTGATGGTAGTGCTCGTGGTGGTGGTGGTGCTGGTGATGGTAGTGCTCGTGCTGGTGATGGTAGTGCTCGTGGTGGTGGTGGTGTGGTAGTGCTCGTGGTGGTGGTGCTGGTGATGGTAGTGCTCGTGGTGGTGGTGGTGTGGTAGTGCTCGTGGTGGTGGTGCTGGTGATGGTAGTGCTCGTGGTGGTGGTGGTGCTGGTGTGGTAGTGCTCGTGGTGGTGGTGGTGGTGGTGTGGTGCTGGTGATGGTAGTGCTCGTGGTGGTGGTGGTGCTGGTGATGGTAGTGCTCGTGCTGGTGATGGTAGTGCTCGTGGTGGTGGTGGTGTGGTAGTGTTCGTGGTGGTGGTGCTGGTGATGGTAGTGCTCGTGGTGGTGGTGGTGTGGTAGTGCTCGTGGTGGTGGTGCTGGTGATGGTAGTGCTCGTGGTGGTGGTGGTGCTGGTGTGGTAGTGCTCGTGGTGGTGGTGGTGGTGGTGCTGGTGATGGTAGTGCTCGTGGTGGTGGTGGTGGTGGTGGTGTGGTAGTGCTCGTGGTGGTGGTGCTGGTGATGGTAGTGCTCGTGGTGGTGGTGGTGGTGGTGGTGCTGGTGTGGTAGTGCTCGTGGTGCTGGTGGTGGTGGTGGTGGTGCTGGTGTGGTAGTGCTCGTGGTGGTGGTGGTGTGGTAGTGCTCGTGGTGGTGGTGCTGGTGTGGTAGTGCTCGTGGTGCTGGTGGTGGTGGTGGTGGTGCTGGTGTGGTAGTGCTCGGGTGGTGGTGGTCTGGTAGTGCTCGTGGTGGTGGTGCTGGTGATGGTAGTGCTCGTGGTGGTGGTGGTGTGGTAGTGCTCGTGGTGGTGGTGGTGGTGGTGGTGGTGGTGGTGGTGGTGGTCACATTCTCCAGCCTGCCGCTGTTCTGCGCTTCACATTGAAGGGGAGAACTCTATCTACAACCTCTCCCCCCCCTTCCCGCACGCACACGTGCACGTATGCACGCATCCGTCCCCCCCCCCCACACACGTACGTTAGTGTGTGTACCAAGGGTGACAAAATACTTAGAGGAACTAACTGGATGGACAAGTTTATTTAAGAGATGTCAGGAAATACTTCTTCAGCCTAAGAGTGGTCAGGAAGTGGAAAGACCTAGAGTGTGAAGGGATAGAGGCAGAATCCATATCTGGCTTTAAGAATAGGTACGACAGGGGCTCAGGAAGCCAGGAGAGTGTGATCCTAATAGTGACCAGCAGAGAGGCTGGGCCGGGAGCTGTGACTCGACCCCCTTACCATCTTGTGTTGCTGTCTGCCATGATGACACAGTCTACCTTCTTGCACACCTTCATGATGGCGCTACAGTCATACTACCTTCTTGCACACCTTCATGATGGTGCTACAGTCTTACTACCTTCTTGCACACCTTCATGATGGCGCTACAGTCTTACTACCTTCTTGCACACCTTCATGATGGCGCTACAGTCTTACTACCTTCTTGCACACCTTCATGATGGTGCTACAGTCTTACTGTCTTCTTGCACACCTTCATGATGGTGCTACAGTCTTACTACCTTCTTGCACACCTTCATGATGGTGCTACAGTCTTACTGTCTTCTTGCACACCTTCATGATGGTGCTACAGTCTTACTGTCTTCTTGCACACCTTCATGATGGCGCTACAGTCTTACTGTCTTCTTGCACACCTTCATGATGGCGCTACAGTCTTACTGTCTTCTTGCACACCTTCATGATGGCGCTCCAGTCTTACTGTCTTCTTGCACACCTTCATGATGGTGCTACAGTCTTACTGTCTTCTTGCACACCTTCATGATGGCGCTACAGTCTTACTGTCTTCTTGCACACCTTCATGATGGTGCTACAGTCTTACTGTCTTCTTGCACACCTTCATGATGGTGCTACAGTCATACTGTCTTCTTGCACACCTTCATGATGGCGCTACAGTCTTACTGTCTTCTTGCACACCTTCATGATGGCGCTACAGTCTTACTGTCTTCTTGCACACCTTCATGATGGTGCTACAGTCTTACTGTCTTCTTGCACACCTTCATGATGGTGCTACAGTCTTACTGTCTTCTTGCACACCTTCATGATGGTGCTACAGTCTTACTGTCTTCTTGCACACCTTCATGATGGCGCTACAGTCTTACTGTCTTCTTGCACACCTTCATGATGATGCTACAGTCTTACTGTCTTCTTGCACACCTTCATGATGGCGCTACAGTCTTACTGTCTTCTTGCACACCTTCATGATGGCGCTACAGTCTTACTGTCTTCTTGCACACCTTCATGATGATGCTACAGTCTTACTGTCTTCTTGCACACCTTCATGATGGTGCTACAGTCTTACTGTCTTCTTGCACACCTTCATGATGGCGCTACAGTCTTACTGTCTTCTTGCACACCTTCATGATGGCGCTACAGTCTTACTGTCTTCTTGCACACCTTCATGATGGCGCTCCAGTCTTACTGTCTTCTTGCACACCTTCATGATGGCGCTACAGTCTTACTGTCTTCTTGCACACCTTCATGATGGCGCTACAGTCTTACTGTCTTCTTGCACACCTTCATGATGGCGCTCCAGTCTTACTGTCTTCTTGCACACCTTCATGATGGTGCTACAGTCTTACTGTCTTCTTGCACACCTTCATGATGGCGCTCCAGTCTTACTGTCTTCTTGCACACCTTCATGATGGCGCTACAGTCTTACTGTCTTCTTGCACACCTTCATGATGGCGCTACAGTCTTACTGTCTTCTTGCACACCTTCATGATGGTGCTACAGTCTTACTGTCTTCTTGCACACCTTCATGATGGTGCTACAGTCTTACTGTCTTCTTGCACACCTTCATGATGGCGCTACAGTCTTACTGTCTTCTTGCACACCTTCATGATGGTGCTACAGTCTTACTGTCTTCTTGCACACCTTCATGATGGTGCTACAGTCTTACTGTCTTCTTGCACACCTTCATGATGGCGCTACAGTCTTACTGTCTTCTTGCACACCTTCATGATGGTGCTACAGTCTTACTGTCTTCTTGCACACCTTCATGATGGTGCTACAGTCTTACTGTCTTCTTGCACACCTTTATGATGGTGCTACAGTCTTACTGTCTTCTTGCACACCTTTATGATGGCGCTAGTCTTACTGTCTTCTTGCACACCTTCATGATGGTGCTACAGTCTTACTGTCTTCTTGCACACCTTCATGATGGCGCTACAGTCTTACTTCCCTCTTACACTTTAAGATGATATGGCTTTAGGGAAATCTTGGCCATAATAGCCGACAGTCTTTTGCAGCTGTGATCAACAGTGTTGAGTGGGGAACCCGAACCCCCCCCCCCCCTCTCTCTCTCTCTCTCTCTCTCTCTCTCTCTCTCTCTCTCTCTCTCTCTCTCTGGTAAATTGCGCAGTGTTTCTCGTAAGCTCTCGTCATTCTCCCGTGTATTTATTGATGTTATTGTCACTCCTCTGTCCCTTGCTTTCTTCCTTCCTTGCGTCCTTCCTCTTTATTATATTATTGATGCTACAGAGAATCGACAACCTGATGAATAAGACATGTGCAGCACCTGGGTATCTTTATTGATGATACACTACGCCATTGTAACAGGCTTCTTCTGTTGAATACTGGCGAGTAACAACGCTGTAGACGGTAGAAGAAACAATGTTGAGGTGATCAGTCCCTCAGCCTTGTTAGATGGTCAGTCCCTCAGCCTTGATAGACGGTCAGTCCCTCAGCCTTGATAGATGGTCAGTCCCTCAGCCTTGTTGGATGATCAGTCCCTCAGCCTTGTTAGATGGTCAATCCCTCAGCCTTGTTAGATGGTCAGTCCCTCAGCCTTGTTAGATGGTCAGTCCCTCAGCCTTATTAGATGGTCAGTCCCTCAGCCTTGTTAGATGGTCAGTCCCTCAGCCTTGTTAGATGGTCAGTCCCTCAGCCTTGTTAGATGGTCAGTCCCTCAGCCTTGTTAGATGGTCAGTCCCTCAGCCTTGTTGGATGATCAGTCCCTCAGCCTTGTTAGATGGTCAGTCCCTCAGCCTTGTTAGATGGTCGGTCCCTCAGCCTTGTTAGATGGTCAGTCCCTCAGCCTTGTTAGATGGTCAGTCCCTCAGCCTTGTTAGATGGTCAGTCCCTCAGCCTTGTTAGATGGTCAGTCCCTCACCCTTGTTAGATGGTCAGTCCCTCAGCCTTGTTAGATGGTCAGTCCCTCAGCCTTGTTAGATGGTCAGTCCCTCAGCCTTGTTAGATGGTCAGTCCCTCAGCCTTGATAGATGGTCAATCCCTCAGCCTTGTTAGATGGTCAGTCCCTCAGTCTTGATAGATGGTCAGTCCCTCAGCCTTGTTAGATGGTCAGTCCCTCAGCCTTGATAGATGGTCAATCCCTCAGCCTTGTTAGATGGTCAGTCCCTCAGTCTTGATAGATGGTCAGTCCATCAGCCTTGATAGATGGTCAGTCCATCAGCCTTGATAGACGGTCCCTCAGTCTTGATAGATGGTCAGTCCCTCAGCCTTGATGGTCAGTCCCTCAGCCTTGATAGATGGCCAGTCCCTCAGCCTTGTTAGATGATCAGTCCCTCAGTCTTGATAGATGGTCAGTCCCTCAGCCTTGATAGATGGTCAGTCCCTCAGCCTTGATAGATAGTCAGTCCCTCAGCCTTGATAGATGGTCAGTCCCTCAGCCTTGATAGATAGCCCCTCAGAGTTGATATAAGATGGTCTGTCGTTCAGCCTTAGGGACCGAGAGACTGATCTCCTGGAAGTCCTTTCTTCTGCTGTCTGCAGTGTTTGAGTCACCTGTAATCGACTGAAGAAGTAAGTCTCCTGCGCAGGAGAAACGCTCCGACAGTGATTCCTCGGTGTTGTACAAGTGTCTTGTTTATCATCCTTGTGTATGTTCGCCTGGTTTCTTACGTAATGGCGTTTATCTCCTGTGTTTCTTAACATTTTAATTTTTGTTTCCTCCATCCCATTAACCCTTTATTTTGCCGTTATTGTTGTGCTTTCGTCTCCTCTCCATCTTCCTCTTGCTGTAGTTCCCATCTCACTCTATTCTGCGGTTATTATTGATTCTAATTCCATTCCACCTGTTGATGTAGGTCAACTGTCCCGTTCCATCCCATCTCTCTTTTTTATCTTAATGTTGCTACATTATGCAGTTCCATGCCTTTATCCTGCTGTTAGTGTAGTTCCTATCCTCTTTCATTTTTACTTGCCTGTTAGTTTTTTCGAGGGGGCAGCAGTAACAGCTTGGTCGATCAGGTCTTGAAACTCCATGAGGCCCGGCCTTGGATCGAGTCGCAGAAGCTTTGACCTGAGGAAACATCCTTCAGGTATCCTTCAGATATTCCTCAGGTATTCTCCAGGTATCCTTTAGGTATTCTTCAGGTATACTTCATATATTCTTGAAGTATCCTCCAGGTATCCTTCTGATATTCTTGAGGTATCCGTCAGGTATCCTCAGATACTCTTCAAGTATTCAGATATCCTCCAAGTATCCTTCAGGTATCCTCCAGGTATCCCGTTTTATCCCACCCCCGTTCAGTCTACCTTGTCGTTAGTGTCGTGCCCCTCCATTTCATGCAACTGTGTATCATACTCTCAGCGTGGTTTTCAATCAGTCTCGAGGCAGTAATGGCGGTGCATGCCAATGGGGCATTGTAAGAAAATGGCGTGATCAGAGAGGCCAATAATTGAAGTGATCTGCATAAGCTTTGATCACCATCAGCTTGAACGGGAAAAGTTCCTAGGAAGACTTTAAGGAGGTTGAGAGGCTGGTTAGAGTAACCTGGCGCAGGAAGACCAGGGGGAAGCAGGAAAATGAACGGAAGAATGGTGGAGATTTTGCAAGTATGCCCTGAAAGGCTGGAGTAAGTGAATGTCGCGTCATTCTTTAAGTGTACTAGGTACCTGCACTCATCCTGAGTGAACATATGGTCATTATGTACCGAAGGGGAGTGTACTAGGTACCTCTACTCATCCTGAGTGAACATATGGTCATTATGTACCGAAGGGGAGTGTACTAGGTACTTCTACTCATCCTGAGTGAACATATGGTCATTATGTACCGAAGGGGAGTGTACTAGGTACCTCTACTCAACCTGAGTGAACATATGGTCATTATGTACCGAGGGAGAGTGTACTAGGTACCTCTACTCAACCTGAGTGAACATATGGTCATTATGTACCGAGGGAGAGTGTACTAGGTACCTCTACTCAACCTGAGTGAACATATGGTCATTATGTACCGAGGGAGAGTGTACTAGGTACTTCTACTCATCCTGAGTGAACATATGGTCATTATGTACCGAAGGGGAGTGTACTAGGTACCTCT